TGTAACCTATATAAGATACTATAATAATGTAGTGTTTGTAGTAGTGTAGTAGTTTCAAGAGAGCTCCTTGAGAAAGAGTTCGTCCAGGGTAGTACTGCCACGTTATATATTTCTACCGCCAAACAGGAATGTCCGCATTACTGTGTTGCGGGTTTGAAGAGTAAGGATGCTGGTGAAATTACAGGCCCATGGGAGTTATCAACTTATGTCTCAGGTTGGCGGGCGCAGTGACAGTGCCCCTCAGATCTTTGCAATTTGAAGCTCTGAGTGGCACTGTAACTGTTATAGGTAGGCATGTAGCTTACCATCAGGTGCACGACTTGTTCGTCCCGTCACTTGAAGTTATATAAAAAAAAGTATTGCCAGATACAGATTTATCAATAGATCTACTGTTGTAGGCCGACGTCAACTGTTACACTGATAATTAACGAAAATCTACTATTTTTGGAAATTTGTTAGTTTATAATCATGTAGGGCAGAAATCTTTTATGGCAGAGCCTGGCAACACTGTACGCCACACCAATTGCCTGGTCTCAAACTAGGGAACTTCCTGATCTATGAATATCAGAGCAATGGATTTCACTCTGGAGAACTACCCAGAATACCCAGACCAGAACCAATATAGAATATTTCATTTCCCAAATATAATAATAGTCCTTCCGGGAAATGAACTCGAGATCTAAGGCCCCCATATACATCAAAATGTACATAATAATGTGATTCAGAATCAGATAAAACTATTTTTACGATCGCATAAACGCCCAGTGTACATTATAATGAAAATATCATATTCAAATTTAGTGCTACATATTCTATATGAGTAGTAGGGTATCTAGAAAAATACTTTTATCATACAAAACTGAAGGCATCTTTGCTTGGGCCTGAAGCATGTTTAGTATATTTAACTTATTTAGCACATTTTATACATTGGGCGTTTAGTGCTTTGCCCATTGCAATTGTTTTGTCTTATGGGAAAAATAACCTTAACTAGCTTCTGTTTTTCGGCCTAAAGATCACTTCAATTCAATTCTTTGTTGCATTTGCTATAATGTTAAGTGCTTGTAATGATATCGAAATGCTGTTCCATGACACGCTTAATTGGCTGCAACTTAACAGGAACATTTTTGACGACTAATTTTGTTCTTAAAGTTCAGTTAAGTTTGTAACAATTATATGCAACTCAGTTATCCCATCATCATTATCACTTCAGCCGAAGGACGTCTACCTCATCGACCAGTCTTGCGTTTCTCGGCTTCCCACAGCCTTTCCCAGCTTGTCAGTCCATCCTGTAGATGATCAGCTTCATTTTCCAGTCAGTAGTCGCCTTTCAAGAACTTTTCGGCCCCCGCCCACTGCCAATTAAGTTTAACAACTCTTTGGGTTACGCGACTACTGGTGTTCTTTTGCGAATCTCCTCATGTTTAATTCAATATAAGATAAACTTCGAGCACAGTCCTTTCCATTACTCTTTGTATAGTCCCATATCCTTACAGAGAGTAGTAGGAGGTTATAAGACGAAGTGGCTTAAGGCAGTAAGTTTGACCAAAGCGACCAGATCTTTTAGATTCAGACGATGCAGCGCGTCTGCAGCCATTCAGACGATGCAGTCGCTTATCGTCTATTACATTTACATACACGCGCGACTTAATCGCGATGCAAACGTGTTGCACGTTTTTAATGATTCAACATAAGCGACTACATCGATGCAACCGTCTATAAATCGCAAATTTGACGATGCAATCGCGCGTTTCACAAACGCTCGTTTTGTATCGCTAAAGTGTAACTTCTCTAACTCTCACAGATTTTAAGTACAGTGAGGTCTTAAATAATAATGCAATTTCTTTGTGTGTATTGCTTTATTAGTGCACGAGGCAAAGTATTCTACATATATAAAGTAAGTAATTAGTCATCGAATCATTTGCCAAGAATAAAAATGCCAGAGGCTCTACATGACTTCTCACAACTTGTTAAAGATTTAGTTAAATTATGTACATTGAGTATGTTTGTTGGAATGGTCATGGTGTCATTCAAATAAAATAAATGGCATAACGTAAAGCAGTTGTATTTAATTTCCTTGTAACTGACGGACTAAATTTAACTGCCGCTGTAAACGTAACATTTTTATTTCGTTTTATTTGGATAGGATAATGTGTCGCTTCCATTTCATGGACTCCCGGATTCACCGGTTTCATTCTTTTTATTACGAAATGTACAATTTCCCCTTTAACAGCTGGCTTTTTAAAATTTCATTAAATGTGCATTCGTATTGTTCGTAAATGTAAAAATAAAATGTTGTGTGACTTGTACGCGTAATGATTATACAGACGGGGCTAAATTTAATGTCTCCGATGATAAAAAGCTTACGGTAGGAGAAAAAATAATTATAAAAAAAAATATATAATAACAACGTGCCACACAACAACAACAATATATATATGGAATATACTATAATTATGGAATTCACTCTGGGGCACTATACAGGTCACCCAGACCAGAACCAGTATGGAAAAGTTTATTTCCCAATTCGATCCTACCGGGAAATTAACCCTCATCCAGCGTCCAGTGTGCAAGGCATTGGGCTAAATAAGACCCCGTGATAGAGGTGGAGCGGACGAACTTGACCTTAAGTCTCGTCTCTCAGTTGAGAGGTGACAATCTGGTCGATTTCAACGGCACCAAAACGCAGGCCTGTCTATTATCTGCTAAAAGGAGTCCTATTTTGATCTGACTCCCACTTTTCGAAGTATATCTGTCTCTCTTACCGACAGCGTAATATTGAGTGCAACTTTTTCGCTAATATTGAATGTAAGGCACAAATTGCAGCCAAAAAACTGGATATCCTTAATAAGGTTAAGCGATATTTCACGCCTGGATAGCTCTTAACTTTATACAAAGCACAAGTCCGAACTTGCACGGAGTATTGCAGTCACCTGTGAGATGACTCAGCGAAGTATAAACTTGAGGCTTTTGATTCGATTGAACGCAGACCCAGGGAACTTATTGGCGACGATAAGCTCGAATCTAAACTTCATAATTTAGCCCACCGGCGCAAAGATGATCGTCTCTCGGTTTTATACAGAATATATTTAGGTGAGTGTGGCCATGAGCTCCTTCATTTCATCCCGCCCGCCCTCTATTACTATCGGACATCCAGACGTACTACGAGATATCATTCTTACTTGCTCGATATTCCCTTCAGGTACACTAAGCGCTTTTCATTATTTTTTATTATGCGCACAGTCCAAAAATGGATTTCGCTGCCTGCGACTGTGTTTCCGAACTCATACAACCCGAATATCTTTAAGTTGCGACTTAATAGGCATCTTCAGGGTGAGCTCGTTCCATCGTAGATCCTATCTTTGCTCCAGAGCTAGGTAGTGGTCAAGAGCAAATCCATTTAATAGAAAAAAGTATCACAAAATACCGTTCAAGATACGAGAACATCTTTTAAGTTTTCAGAAATTAGGGACATAACTGGCTAAGGCGTTATAGTAACATTTATTTATTTCATTCTTTTGGATTAATACTTGTCCATTATTAACGTTTATTAGGAAGTGCGTAGGTTAGTATAAGTTACTCGCATCTGAGAAAAGCACATAAACACATTTGAATGCACACACACACACACACACCATAACAACAAATTGATTGTGATATCACAGAGTAATTATTTCGAAGCTGCCGCTGTTTGAGTTCAGTTTCATTTATTTGTGATTACAATTGGCGTTTCTATTCTGCGGGGTCCTGGCAGAATACCAGCGTCGCGGATAATCGCGTCATTTATGTTAAGCCATCCCTTTTTCACTGCCATGACTTACAGAAAGAGACATTTATTATACATATTAACTCTGTTCTGTTTAAATTGTATGTACCATGTATCTATTGTAAATTTTTGTGGTGGAAGTGAATAAAGTATTTATCTATGCAGGATTATTTGTAAAATATACTACTGTATATATATATATATATATATATATATATATATATATTATATACTACTAAATCATAAACAACAACTTTTGTGTACTTTTGTTTTGTTTGAAATTATTAAACCTAATGAATTATGAAAAATCATGGGATTTTTCATAAATTCATTTCATTTCAATAGATCGTTGTAAATGGTAACAACTCTGTGCAGGACGGGGATGGGAGTAGTCGCGGAGGACGCTTGCACGTTTGAACTTACCATACCAAATACAAATCTAAAAAGTGTCGGATTTATTATTTTTGGCAAATTTATTATGTTTTATAAAAAGTCATGGAACAAAAGTTGTTCTTTATGATGTTAGTAACATAACCCTGCGAGGTTGTTAGAATTTTAAAAGTAACCCTGTATATCCATGTAAATCGTCCAATTCGATCTAATCACACAGATTATTTTTCATTTAATTGATTTTTCACATTAAATGCTAACAGTAAACTCAATATTACGTGAAATAGGATTTCAATATAGAACACAACCTCAAAATGAACAAATATTGTCCTAACCCATTTCAAACTGAGCTAATAATGCAAAACTTGTGGTTTTAGAATTATTATTAATGCAGAAATGTCGTGTTTCAGCACCAACTTATTATTATAGGTTTGTTCCTAACCTTAATCTTCTGACCTAAATAGGTTTACGTAATTATATGAACTTTGAATCACGTTATTACTGTTTGAATTACCTTTTCTGAGAAAGGAAATTGCATTGTAGAATCATGGTTTCGTTTTGTTCTAACCAGATTATTACCTTTGATGTTCTTTGCAATATTACACGGTACCTTTGAGATATCCTTTTTTTTATAAAGTCTAACTTGTTAATAATAACGGATATAAATCAATTCCCAATAATGTTGTTGCTTATTAATGCAACAAGAATGTTAAAGATGTATGTGTATTTTTCAAATGTTCTTAAAATTATTTCATTATTGTTTAAATAGGTACTACCTTTAAACTAAAAAGTTAACAAAGCTTAATTGGAGCAATGTTTAATACAGTTTTTATTTCTATCTTTACAGATCAATATTCCAAAGTGGAAGGTTACCCTGTTATGGTTTGGTTCCATGGCGGCGATTTTGTCCGGGGAAGCCCTAATCTTTTGAATCCATTTCAATTAGTTCTGAAACAAAAGGTAAGATATTCAAACGTTAATGAAATATGATAAATCAGCTCTTTGAATAAATCCTCATTATAAATTTGTGTGATGAACACAATTTTAATAAGAATGCTTGGTTTAGTTCAAATTTGTTATGTAATTTGGAATATTAAATGCAAAGTCGTTTAAACTTGACTTACAGCTTTGTTAACATAAAACTTTTGTTATATTCTAATATTTAACTTTTCTTACAGGTGATATTTGTCTCTGTTGCTTACCGTCTAAATATTTTTGGATTTTTCTCGTCACTCGACAGTGAGGCTCCAGGGAATTTTGGATTATTGGATCAAGTAGCAGCTCTGAGTTGGGTTCAGAAAAATATCGACGTTTTTGGCGGTGATCCAGACAATGTATGCATATTCGGCCACGACGCAGGAGCCGTCAGCGTGGGCTTACATCTAGTATCCAGTTACTCGGCTGGGTTATTTCAAAAAGCCATTGCAATGAGTGGCAACGTATTGTCGCCAGCTACTGTCAACACAGCCAGGAAAGAAGCTATCACAGTTGATAAAGTTGCGAACGCTTTTGGTTGCTTCCGAAGACCTACCTTCCAGTTACTTGATTGTCTCAGAAGAGTTCAATATCAGGCACTTTTGGACTTAGGAGAACCTCTAGCGGAATGGAAACCTATAGTGGATAATGGCCTAAGTAATGTATCTGCTGCATTTATATCAGATCTTCCAAGTAGATTATTCAAAACTGACGCTTACACTCCTGTCCCAATTCTAACAGGATATACAAATATGGAAGACGCTCTTCTTCTCGAGAAAGATGATAAGGGATCAGGTATTGATCAAAAAGAATTTGATCGTAGCCGTGAAGAAATTATACTTTCTGACATAACAGTAGACAACAGTTCTTGTTTCACTAACCAACATCACATTCAAGAAGCTGTAGCATTTTTCTATAAACCTATTCCGCCAACAGATAATCAGACGATTCTAAGAAAACTTCTTCTTGATTTTTACACAGACAAAGTTCACGGATCCACAACATATCAGTTAGCTAAGCATCTAAGTGGACACGCTCCAGTATACTTGTATAGATTCGACTTGAAACCTTTTTCAGACTTAGCTAATGAGGGAGTCCCCGACTGGGTGGGGGTACCACACAACTTTGATCTGATATTCACGTTTGGTTTGCCACATCTAGCAAAACCCGAAGATTTGAGCAAGTGGGATTACAGGGACAAGAGTATTTCGGAAATTGTTATGAAAATGTGGACTAATTTCGCTTGGTACTCTAATCCTACCAATTCAGGCGTTATAATTGAATGGGACCCTTTTGAAACAGAAAAGCCAGGCTACTTCATAATCGACAGGCAAAATTTCACTATGAGCACCCCCGAAACCATAAACTACAAAGCTTTCGAATTCTGGACGGATTTCTACCCTAAGGTAGTTGAAATCGGCACAAAATGTTGCAAGGAGCCCATTGACGATTCAGGCACAAATTCACTTGTAACAGGTACAGTCATAAATAGTTTATTTGTTTTACATGTAATTTTAGTTTTAGTGTCTTAAATTCCACAATGTGCAGTAAAACCTTTAACGTTATTTTTGTAAAGTCTATTTCTAAAGTTACCATTATTTAAGAGAAATTATTATTGCTTAAAGTGGAGATAAAGAATTATATTTACTTATGTAAATTTATTAACGCAAATAAAAGGTAAAATACAAATAATTTGTTTGTTTCGGCTCTGTTCAGGTAATTTTTTTTTTAGACGAACGCTTGGTCACAATCTCGTTTAATGTTAAACGACGATGTGGCAGATGATGTTACAAGTTTGTTGAGTAAATGCCTATTAAATTGTGAATAGACCCAAATTGCAGCTTTCGGGATGTGCCTACAGTTGCCGACAGTAAATGTCAATCCTTTACCTTACGCATCAGGAAAGAGGAAACAAAACATTTGGAGTCCGAAACGGATGGAGTCCTTGTCATCATCATCATCATTTCAGCCGAAATACGTCCACTGTTAGATATAGATTCCCTCAAAGATTGCCACAACGACCGGAAAACTTCACCAAGTCATCTCACCTTGGGTGTCTACCGACGCTGCGTGTTCCAGTACACGGTCGCCATTTGAGAACTATTTGGCCCCATCAGCTTTCTGTTCTGCGAGAAATGTGCCTCGCCCACTACCGCTCAAATTTTCAATTTTGTGGTGCTTTTTCGGATATCTACATTTCTGATTCGATTTCGCAGTGAAACTCCGAGCATAGGCCTCTAATAAGGATGGAGTGATCCGGACTAATTTACATCTATAGGGGTTAAATAGCCTCAAATTCGGTTTTTATCGGGTGCCTTACGGGCCTTACTTTCAAGGGCAGCTAGTCACGAAGTGTAGCTTCTGTCACAATATATGTACAACTTAATAAAACACTTGATAATATCACTATTTCCTGGACCTTGGCGTGACTGTATTTCGATCCGATTAAACTCTAAACTTAATATATTGTTATAAGGCGACGTTTTAAAATATAATTGCAATACAATATCGCGTGCTTACAGAAGAACGAAAGTTCTACAAAGTATATTTTGACCTCAATACGTTTCAAGTAAAGCAAAGACTTTTTAAAATTTTTAAGGTGTTAAAACATCTGTGTTCAAAACAGATACTTAAGATGCCATGGGGGTATTTTGAGTAGGCAGATTTCCATTCACAGATATGTTTAGCGTATTTATACCTTTCAAGCTATAAACCTTCACGTGCCTAGCTACCATTATTCATGCAAGTTAACTGTTCGGACGTCAACCATATAGGACAATGAATGTGGTTCTGGCAAATTGCACTGCGCCACTTGACGTGTACCATTTTACTGTGATCGTAAATATAAAGTTAATAGCTATTTATTGGAATATTGTAGCGGAAATAAAATGTAAGTAGAGTAACCATTACAATCATTAGCTTATTGTACATGCGGGGTATATGGTTTTTAAGAGCATAATAAACATCTAATTACTAATTTATTCATATCGAGTTGTTACATTTTCATGATTACTATAGGTACATTGAAAATTAATAGTATATTTATCGAGAGACTAAAACGAGCCAATACATTTTATACCCAAAGTGGTTAGCCACCCGAGCTTTAGCGAGGGTGTCTATTACTCCGAGGGTTTATATTGGCTTTTAGTCTTGAGGTGAAAACTTTACTTTTCACTTCGATTGTGAGAAAAAAAATATTTATTTCAGTTGTTTACGCTTTACAACAAAATCGCAATCCTGAAGTTTTTGTAGTATTTTTTTTTTCAACCAAACACCGATATAACAAACGCAACAAACGTCAGGTTAACCGGTCTTTGGCAATCTATGATAATAACATATGAGCGTCTTTCGAACAATTTAAGTGCTACATCACGTCACTAAAATTATCCAAATTGTTGTAGTATTTCAGTTCTCTTCTAGAAAAATCTAACAGATACGTACACTGGTTTCAAAATATACATAATCATATATACATGCACTCCCTTTACTTACCGTCTTCGATAACAATTTCCTGTATAAATTATTTACAGCTTCTCAAGTCGAGTCTCAAGTGACTTTCTAAATTTTGTTATTATTTTTTTTACGTGTAATTAGGTTTACAATAAATGACATTTAAATTCATAAGCCATTCTACAGCGCACTTCTCGTAATTAAGATCACCTTTATGACACGCAAAATAGGCTCTCATCGTCGAGTTGCCCAGCTAGTTACCCCACAACATCCTGTGCGTTTACGTTCACGTTTTATTTTGGTTTACACTTTATCAGTAAGACACCATAAAATAATTTAAATATTTTTCACGCACACGAGACGCCTTATGATTTTTGATGAGAGCTGATTGTATCGTAACCATATTTTTTTTTTTCTTAATCACGAGTTGTTTGAGACCCGTTGCAATCAAATGCACAGTAATTCTGGAGACTCAAGTATTTTAAAAGAATCTAGTGGTAGTTTTTAAAATTACAATACGTCCTACAATACCTAAAAATACTTAAAATTACGAGTACTCATATACCAATTTTTGAATGCTGACGAAAACAACTGCAAATCTTCCTTGTGAAGGAAAATATCTTATTTCTGATAATTTATTCTGGAAAACGAACAAGTCGTTATTACAACATTACGTCATTGCTCACAATAAATGTTACAAACATACATCACGCATACCTATCACCATTGCAGAGTAGGCACAGATTATGGACTTCCCTCCCTAAGTTCTTTGATATCCTCTTTCGCCTCTCTAATTGCACCAATTCTTTTATAGATGCCCGTGTGATATTGATATTCTTGATAATAGGGTTTAAAGTGATCATTGTCATTGATTGATAAGTATCACGATAATTTTCTTAATAAATATAAGTACCTTGATAATATAAAAAAAGATGTCTTGATATTTATCAAAATGCTACCGTCAAAGATGTCATGCCATGTATTTGTATCAGACACGTATCCAAACGAGTCAAATCAGTCGTTATTTTACAAGATTAATAAATCGACCTTTTTACAAAAACAACGTATTTACAATTCATAATCTAAACAACTAAAAATCATCAATGCAAACTGGAAACAGATTGTTTGCATTAGTATTTTTGTCAGGCGTTTTCGTGTTCGAAAAGCTGTTATGGGGCGGCACGAGTTTGACAGCTACAACAGCGCAAGCGCAAGTTACGATATCGGTGGCTCAAAAGTTTATACTGTGGGCGCTAGACGACGAGGTCCCGGATACAACTCCCATAATTTAGGAAAATAGCTTTTCTAAATTGATTCTCGTTTTCCTGCTGTGTATAGCGCCGCGTAGTATATTTCGTTGGTATGGTACTAATAATACAGGGAATACCCTACTTTGAGACCAGGTCACTTGTATAGCTTTCTGATACATTAATACGCCACAATCTGAATTTCAAGTCATTTGGATCCCGTCAGGGTAAAGCAAATTGTACTTGTATCTTGTTTGTATTATAACACCTATTACCAATATTATCGTCCGCCATAGAAATGTATAGTTGAATTAGGTAATATAAATATACTTATATATTGGCTATATCGAGATCATATATTGTTAGAGATCACTCTCCTGCATGAATTTTGAGACTGAATAATAATGCTCTCTTTACAAAACATTTAATCTCTCTAGTTTGGAAGTGAATGAATTGTTTTTTTTAATATTTTTTTCATATTATTAAGTTTTTTGTTGTAAATGAAAACATAGTATGAAAATATACCACTTCTCATGCTCTAAAAGTACATTGATACAGCCTTACGTAGCGGGAGCAAAAGCATCATTTTAATCCTTAGGCAGTAAAAAGTATCTAGTTTTTTTAAATTACTTCGAGTGATCTAAAAAATCTCAAACAGCCAGTACTTGCTCTAGTTTGTACCAAAAGGCAAACGCCTGACAAAAATACTAATGCAAACGATCTGTTTCCACTTTGATAATTTTTAGTTGTTTAAGGATATTAAATGTGTTAATTAGAATTAGAATAAAACGTATACAAAGAAGCAGTAATCATGAACTTTTTCTTCTGATTATAATTTATTTATTAAGCATTAGCTATATGGCCATCAGCTTAAACATATAATTAATTATATTAAGAAACTCAAGTATATCGCAATAATATTTAAAGTAAAAATTAATTTGTATAAAAACTGTAAGTGCAAAAGCCCGCCATGTTTTTTTCTTTGGGCAACAAACTGGTGGCAAGACTTTAGGCCAAGTCCTATTTTAATTAAAGTTCTTGATTTAAGATTTGTTTTAAATAATTTGTATAGTGTGTTTCACAAATTTATTTAAAGCACTGTACCATTATTATTTCCCTAATGGCGGCCACTAGACTTGGGCCTGTGTCAGTTTCCATGACTGTTGCAATTAATATTGATTAAAAGCGCCAACGTTTAGGTAGCAGCAAGGTATTTATGCCTGAGGTAAAAAAAACAATCATCGACAAACAAATAACTAAAGTATTATATTATTAGGGCATATAATATCACACCAAATATTAATAAAGGGGGATTACACATGAAGAAAGAGGGGTTTAAGGTTATGGACGAGAAAGGAAGGAGGTCATACAAGGAGGAAGTTAATTTAGGACATTCAATGAAAATATGATCAAGCGTACCCTCATCCATACCACATTCACACAAAGAGTTGTCTCTGACATGGATTTTGTTGAAGTACAAAGGGTAGCAAGAGTGACCCAGTCTCAGCCTACAGATCCTTGAAGTATTTGCCATATCAGCTTCGCGAAACTTAAAAAACCAAGGTATCACTGGGATGTAATTTTGAACTTCAGCATAGAATACGTGCCTTTATCTTGCCTATTTTTATCCCAGTGATATACCAGTCCATATCTAGACTATCTTTAGCTTACAAAGTCAGGTCGTGAGTATAACACCTGTACAGTGAGAGACGCGGGAGTCGCATCCTTGGCACTGTACCGTTGACCACAGATGACATTTAGAAATGACACGATAATAATGTTGCTATTTTATGAAAAGTTCCCGTTTAATGTTTGTAACTTCTGTTTTTTTTTATATTATGCAAGATTTTTGTAATACATAAATGTGTTTCACGGTATTTATTAAATTTCTTTGCTTACAAAGTATCAAAATGAAATGAAATCTGTGTAATGCTGAAAAAACGAACTATAGTATGTAATATGGGTCATGTCTTTTAAATGTGGTCATGAAGTTCTAAAAAAACATTAATATGGTTAACTTACACTATATTTTGCGAATAGTAAATAAAATAATTCAGACATTCTAAAGTGCCTCGTATATCGTTCGGCGTTTTTTCTATAAACCGGTGTTTTTAATTAACTCGTGCATTTTTTATTTATGTTTTCTTGTAATGTTTCCTGAACCAGTAGCGTCTGTACCGTTCGACGAAGCGGTCTTAATCAGCAGGACTAAGCGAATAAGGTAAGGAAAAAAATATTTGATTCTCAACTTGGAACTCTTTCAAATAATTGTTATAATTTTTTGTGCAGATACAATATCAAGTGCTAGACGTTTTATTTTTTGCTCAGCTTTTTGCTGTCCTTCATTTATTCAGTTTATATTAAGATCAACAAGTTAACAGTTTAGTTCAAGTAAAATTACAATTGGTATTAACGATATCCGTATAAACATATAACCTCATAGTAAAGTACACAAACTGTCACTTTTAAATATTTGAGATTTAAACCTTTAATTAAGAATACATAGTTTAATTTTTAAGTTGTTCACATAGTTCAGAATAGGGTGGTTTGCATTAATATGAGCACGACACGTTGGCTTGTTTGAACAAATATGCGATTTTTAAATACGAAAAATTACAGTGATTTCCAATACTTTTAATCATTGTTCAGCATTATGCACAATGTCAGATTTGTAGTACCACTAAATTAAGGTGTGCCATATTATTATTAAGATATATACATTTATTTACATTATCATCAAAGATTGCGTCGGCATTTGTTTTTTGGAACACAGCCAAAGTAGCTGTCGTTATTCATTTTGATGTCGAATTTTGGCTAGTTATTTTCAATTTTTCTGAGGTTCACTGCCACTGCGTCCGTGACCCTGAAACAACTTGACAGGTCCCATGTGCCTGTAATTTCACCAGCACCCTTACCCTGCCAAACCGGAACGCAGTAATGCTCACATTACTGTTTGGCGGCAGAAATATCCATGGCGATACACTGCTACTAATAATGTGAATACCAGTAACAAAGTAATAATAGTTACATAGTTTTAAAAGTTCCTTGAATAGTTTTAACGATCACAAAATTATTGACCTAAGTCGCATGACATCTTTACATAATGTTCGCTGGTAACTTTCCCTTGTGTATGGACTGGAGAAAAATATAAAATCCCATGAGTTCTGTGGCCAGGATCGAACCAGCAATAAGGTGAACGTTTCTCTAGCTGTTTTGAAGTAGGTTCATAGGTTAAAACAACGCATGGTCATAAAATTCCGCCATTTTGTTATATTTATCCTCAATTTTTGCGGTTTGTGTATAAAAAAGTAAGCAAAACGAATTAACTAAATTAATTGTTTTTCCCGCTGGCTTTTAAAGAATGACGCAATATATTCACAAAAGAACAACACTTAGCGAGCCATAGACATTGCACTAGTATACAAATTAATACAATGTGTATCTTACGAACTTGTAATAAACCAACTGTATTATTTTCCCTAATGCAGGACCATGAGTGTGTGCGTTATTATTACTGCGTTCCGGTTTTGAAGCGTAAGGGTGCTGGTGAAATTACAGGCACATATGGCTAGTCAACTTATGTCTCAGAGTGATAAGCGTAGCGGCTGTGCCCTTACCATCTGTCGTCGCTTACCACCAGACCCACAACTTGTTCGTCCCGTCACTTACTATCTTAAAAGAAAAGTAAATCCTTGAACTTCTCGGGATCAAAGCGATTTCTCAGACATCAATGCATAACAACCATCCATTGAGTCTAAAGGAGTGAACATTTCAGAATTGTTGTTAGGCCATGGTATTGCTCCGTTTATAAAAAAACTTAGAACCAACAACACCGACTTATTATACTAATAGTGAGAACTTATTGAATCCAGAATGAAGCGAATCTTGTGTTTCTATAGCTTTGACGATTTACAAGTATCAAACAGTTCGTGGTCGAAATCTAAATTATAGAAATTAACTTATTTCGAAAAGTTTACAATGTCGTCGGCTATATGATCTAAACTGCTACCTCCATTTTTGACTGAATTGTCATTTTGATACCGAACGAAAGAGAAAAAAAACCGGTTAATCATCAAACATGTTCCGTGACCTAAACTTCAGTACAATCGGTCTACTTTTTCCATCGGTCTACTTTCCCCGTCCACTTGTCCAAATGGTCAACAACAAACTCATGTTATAAATATACATTTACTCATTAGTAAATGTATATTTAAAAATAAAATACTGAATGAAGAAAAAGTATTTTCTTCATTCAGTATTTTATTTTTAAATCAGTTTTTTTTTTTGTAATTACTCCCAAACAGCTTGAAATGGAGTTAGCAATTTAGTTTATTTACCTGGCGATGTATTTTTTACTAACATTTAATTCTTGTAAGATTTTCTTCAAAATAGGTATATCAAGATATTTTGCTTTTTTAAGTACCAGTGACATTGTAGTTTATTGGCTTATAGCCAAGTCAAACTAGGCCAAGCTAAAACTATAATTTTATTATAGTTGACTTATTTGTTACGATCTTTATTTACCTTATTTTTCCAGGAAATGGCGTTGCAATTCGTCATACTTCTATTAGTTTCGAGTTTGGTGGCAGCTCAAAGGCCTTTCTTCGCGGGATTCAGACCAATAGGATACCCTACCACTGCACCTACTACTACGTCAAGTGATCTAGCAAATCGGTCTGTTTAAATTTTTGTGCACTTATTTATATAGACGATTATCTGTAGTTATAGGTTTCTTACCACGGTATAAGTTTTTTGGCAAGCGGCAGTAGACAGCAGAAAGACAATCTAACGAACGTATAAAAAAGCTATAATACCGCAGTAAAAAATCTATTGTAATCATTATGATAATAATGACGATAATTTGATAAATAATGATAAGTTCAAATGATAATTCATTTGATATATGGAATTCTTGGGTTTTTGCGATTGTTACACATTGGAAATGAAAGTATTTTTTTCGGCTTTAAATCGCATACGTTTGTTTTTTCGGAACGTTGGTTTGAAAAATATACACGACTTAGATAAAAAAAATACTTTCATTTACAATTATTTCACAATTGATACTCGTTTCTGAATAATCAGTCTTAAAATGTATGTCCAAACAATCCCATGAGATTCCAATCGTAAGAAGGATTTTGTCGTACATGGTATATTGGAGACGGTTGGTTTTAATCGGGACAGGGTAAGCGCCTAGTTACACGACGCGACAGTTATCGCGCGGTCGCGCGGCCGGCCGTCCAGTTACCATGCTTCCATGTACATTAATATATATGTACTTTCACACAGACAGTTAGATTTACATGGTCGCTGCGCGGCGGCAATGCTGTCACCGCGCGGAGGGGCACTGCCTCTGCACCCATCAACTGAGACATAAGTTGACAAGTCCCATGTGCCTGTAATTTCACCAACTGTACCTGCCTAACTAGTAAAGCAATAAGAGTGACTTAATTTTGTAGAATCCAGGGAATGGGGACCTGGCAATCTGTAATCCAAACTTTTTATGTCTATCTCAGGCACGAGTTTCTCACTAATAAAGTTCATATTACGAGTATACGTTAAGCACATAATAAATAAGGTTAATAAATGTATGTTGAGAGAAAACATATAAATAATATTATATTATACTTAATATTTTGAATGATGGGCGAGTTTTACCGTTAGCAGACAACAAACAAACAGTTAGCAGAATTCGAAATGCATAAGTAACAAGTAGTTACGAGTAGTACAAGTAGTACGAGGAGGAAACGAGGAGCGAGGAAAACTTGTATTTAGGAATTTACCAATGAATTCATAAAAGGAAACACGTTTAAAGAGACGCCAGAAGTTCAGATTAAAACTCATCTCTTAAATTGCATCTATACTTAATCGCTGATTCGAATAAAGTATAACCAGATAAGTTATAACCTGATAAATAGTTATAATGAACCAATCTTTAAGAGATTGACAGTATTTTAAAATTGTAAAAATATTCTTATTCTACATTTTCAGATTTGATGGAAACAATGAGACCACGACAACTCAGAGACTGCCAATTGAAGCTCTTGGTGACAAAGATCTGGTTGATCGCCTGAGTAAACTACCAAAGGACCAACAGCCCTTTTGGCTACTGAACTGGCAAGCCCTGGAGGATATGAGGAAGAATCCACAAACATACCCTCATAGACCCAGTCATTTTAGTCAACCCTTGGATCCTGCCTTCAGTGAAAGTCTTACTCCGTCTAATGGTAATCCATCTGGTTTTTCCAGTAGTAGTCAATTTAGCAGTGGTACATCCGGATCTAATTTTGGAACCGCTAACTCTGGAGCAACAAACGTTGAATTTGTACCTTTCAACGCGAACCCAGAAAATGTAATTCCAAACCCAAGTACTACTACTACCAATGTGTTTGAAAACAGATTTGGTGACGATGATACGAGTCTTGAAACGCCTCGTATTACCCCAAGACCAGTGCTAAAACCCACGTACCCTATATATGCACACGTCGATGATGTTCTTGCTAACAAATATGTTCCCAGCCAAACCAGTCAATCTGGAAGTTTAAAAGCTACTTGGAATAAACCTGCAAGCGATAATCGTGTAAAAGAAAATCGACAATTAGCACTACACGATTAACAAGATTAACGGACACTGATTACTTTTATGCCCCATCCAATGTTGTATACGAGTTTCAATAATAATTATATGGCAAAACCTTTTTTGATTTAAAATCAGAAAGGTTTTTACAATTTCATTGAACGTTTCTCTAAGAAGACTGTATTTTATATAAACAAAACCCTTTTAGTATAAGGAGCGAACTCGAAACTTATTTTTGATTTCCATGTATTAAAAAAAAGTGAAAAACATTTACTATTGTTATAATATCTGCTTAATACCTTTAAGATTCCAAAATAATTAGTATAAGATATACAATACAACGTTACGAGTACTACATACACCTATAAGCTCTATAAAGTTCTTACCTTGAATGTTAAATATGCCAAAATTTTTTGTTACTACGGCTACGTGGTATTTTTTAACAACAGTTAAAAAATAACACATGATTAATTTGCGTTGTCGATTAACTTGTATGTTTTTTTCGTTTTTGAATAAAAAAAAACATATTTTTCTAATACATGTTTTTTTTTATCGACTCTTAATCCATTCTTAAAAGTATTTTTTTTATTATATAATATTGTGTCATTTCAAATGTAACATACGTGTTATGTATATTAAACACATTCTATTTTAACTTACATTTTTTAGATGGCAAATATACTGCATATAATTTATACATATATTGCTTCCAATACAATACAATACAATACAATACAATACAAAATGCTTTATTTCTCTCAAAAAGGTTTGTTTACAAAATGCAGATTTGTTACATTTTATGTGAAATATGAAGCACCTTAGTGAGAGCTGGAGTCTGTACTAGGTTGGGGACCTGTGTTACAGATCACCAGGCTCACACCCTTTTTACAAGTTTACCAGAAAAGTAACACTAATAAAATTTATCAAAAATAATGAAAATTAAATTAAAGAGTAAAATAAAATTGATTGCTAATTAGAAAATAAAACAAATAGAAAAAAATAGAAAAATGTCTGTGCGTGTGTGTTTGTGTGCGTGTGTTTGTATGCGTGTGTTTGTGTGCGAGTACGTGTGTGTGTGTGTGTGTGTGTGTGTGTGTGTGTGTGTGTGTGTGTGTGTGTGTGTGTATGTGCGCGCGCGTTGGGGTGTATATATGTGTAATATAACTTATTTTAGTATAGTTAATAGTTTTTCAGTCGAGTCATAATCGTTGTGTGTGATCAGCCAGTCAGTAATAATTTTTTTACATTTCGCTCTACATAAGGGGTAGACATTAAGAATACTGTTTATCTTATTATTATAAATAGCCTCCCAAAAAACAGAAATGACGCTGTGCACAACTAGTGGAAACTGAAGTCGAAGGGCAGACAGTGCATTTACGCCGAACAGTGTTTATTTTGTCAGAGTCGAAGGAGACTTGTGTGTGTTTGGTTAAAGCCGTGTGTAGGATAAACAGCTGACGTACTGAAAGGACCTCACAGGTTTTGTAAAGGTCAGAGGTTGGATATCTGAAACGAAGGTTCCGTCCCACCTTGAGTATCGCACGTTGCGCTCGTTCCAGCCGAAGAAGTTGCTGCTTGGAAGATCCACCCCAAACTGTTATGCAGTATGTCGTGAGAGATTGACAGAGAGCCAAATACACAAATCTCAAAACTTTCACGTCAGCAACGAGATTGAGGTTTTTAAAAACATAAATTAATTTACGTAACCGTAGGGAAAGACTCTCAATATGATAGCTAAAACAAAGTGTGCCATCTAGCTGGACACCCAAGTATTTGATGTAGTGAGTGCGAAGTGAGGATGGACAAGAGCAGGAGTTTTTAGAAAAGGAAGGACACGAAAGAGCCGTGACAGTGAAAGAGGTGGCGGATGGAAGACCACGACTTGAAAGAGAGAAAGGGAGACACATTGTTTTATCCACGTTAAGGGTGAGAAGGTTCTGAGAAAGCCATGCAGAAACTGAATTAAAGCCCAATTGCATATAGATATACACGGACTCCCAGGATTCGCCAAAGAATATCAAGGCAGTGTCGTCGGCATATGTAAAAATAGAACCGTTTTTTAATTGCATGTTACAGAGGTCGTTAATATACGTTAAAAATAAGGTAGGGCCGAGAATACTGCCCTGGGGCACACCATACGTGATCGGAAGTTCCTTACTGTTTAAATCTCCAATCCTAACATACTGTCGTCTATCAACAAGATAACTTACAAAAAGGTCAGGCTGAAGTCCTCGAATACCCAACCTTTCCAGTTTAGTAATGAGTAGTGGAACTGATATTGTATCGAATGCTTTGGCGAGGTCGAGGAAAACAGCCATCACCTTCTGCATGTTATCAAGTTTAGCAACGACTTCGTTAGTTAGGTCTGATACAGCATTATTTGTAGAAATACCAGGCCGGAAACCATACTGAGAGGTAGACAACAATTTATTTTTTTCCAGGTAATTCATCAGTCTACTATTTATAAGTCTCTCTAGAATTTTAGACAGGGTGGGCAGAATTGAAATAGGTCTGTAGTCGTTTATTAGACCTCTGTCCCCACTCTTGTACACCGGATGAATTATAGCGAGCTTGAAGGCCTCGGGGAAGACACCGGTACTAAAGGAAATATTACATAGGAACGTTATTGGGGAAACTAAAATGTGTATGAATTTTTTTAAAAAGGAGCCAGAAATGCCGTCATAGCCCACAGCACAGTCACTACGAAGATTCGTCACAATTCCCTCCACCTCGACTTCGTCAGTAGGTAACAGGACGAATGTGTTTGCACTAGCAATAGAACACGAATCAGAGGAATGCTTAGTGGGACCCGCGGGGATACCCTCAGCCAAACTACGTCCAATGTTAGCGAAATAGAAATTAATATTATACAACACATAAAACAATACATAAAAGATTTTTAAATAACAAATTATTTAAATATCTTTTATGTATACATATAACGTCCGAATTATATATGTCAACATAACATATGTCCTTTAGTTTCCATAGTCTAAGGTGAATATATGTATATAATGCATTTCGACGTTGAAAACATAAACATGTTATTGTCTTTGTTTAACTCTTGCACGCCGTCTTAAGCCAAAAGAGATAACATTACATGGTCTGTGTCAAACACGGGAATCGAAAATACGTAACGTCATCTTAAATGCCAACCGTGTCCATTTCGCACTACATGAGGTACATGATACGGTTGTCAAAGGGAAGTACGTCAAATGTCAAAACAAATGTTTCTCCAAGTGTTTTATTGAATTATTCGCATGTATTGTAATAAAATGGATAAAAATGTTGACAGTGAGAACAATTAAGTATTAATAAAAATTCGTTGCTACAGCATTACGGGATGTGGCATTTGAAAAAGCGAAGATCGACCGAATGTAACATTGTACAGGCACATGTTATTTTTCTGTCTATAAATCACACAAAAGCCCAAATATCTCATGTAATTAGACATATTTAAGTAGTTTATTCATAAATCTGGCCAAATTTTGCTTTGATTTCTTCAGATTGCCTGTTTGTTTGCATATTTTGATGATTGTTGTTAACGATTATTTTGAGAAAGTGTTGTTCTTGGTAGCGTACATATCGATATTCTGTTATTAAAATAATTCACTACGAGGTTTTTATAATTTTATTATTAATATTTTTACTATTTCAAGTTTACCTACAAAGAAAAAAGAATGGTTGAAAATCATACCGCCGTATAATAGTGCCGAATATAAACATTAAATCAAAGACCATCTTCAATTTTATTCGCTTCATTTTGAAGAGTCAAATTTTAACATAACTTTGAATGTAACTAGATTACATGATAATGCAATTCCATCATTAGGTTTATTGGTAAGTAATTTTATATTTAATTTAGATTAAACAAGACTCTTTTACTAGGCATTCTCAGTTCCTGAAAACAAAATTCTCCACTCGTTTCCGATTTTTTCCCATTGACAACTCTAACTACTAAAAATTCTTATTTTATACAATCAGCAATACAAAGACCATGTTAGTCTAACGGTGCCGGGTGACGGCCAATACCAACGTATGGACAGCCTATTTGCCTTGCCTTGCCTTGCCATCGTTCGGTGTCACTCGCCTAGCTGACCGAGTGAAGGCGAGCGCTAACGTGTATAGAGCTCGTTTGACGTGGCTTGTCACAACTCGCAGTTGCTCGTGACTGCTTGTCTCACTTCGGAGAGATGTCGATTTTTCTGCACAAATCAAAAGTGCTCGGCCAATGGTAGTCAACTGACATTGTATAGTCAGACATTTGCATGCTATTTAATATGTGCGAAACATGTTTATACTAACACTGTCTCTTGTTACATCTCCTGTTATACCATGTTTTAAGCAAATAAACGTATGATAATTATATTATTATTGATAACATTACTACTTTCATTTATTTCCAAAATTAAATGGAAGTATTAAAGATTCACTTAAATCAGTCAATGATTTTAATTCTATACCAATGCATAAATACAAAGAAGCGTACACTATTTGGAATCTGTTTAAAAATTTCTCTATGAAAATATGAATCTTGAGGTTGGAAATGTATAGGATTTATATTTCAAAGTTTTCTCTTTTTTATATACTCTCAAATTACAAAATATTATATTTTTCTGTGCTAATTCACTTTTCTAAATATTTGAAAATTTGTAAACGCAAAATAATAAATTCAAAATTTCTTGTGACATTCCCGGATATTCCCATATAACCTAAAATATTCCCAAATGGAATATTGATCTACTTTAATTAAATGTTTGCATGTCGATAATGACTTATCGATAGATTATGGTACGACACTAAAGAAATCCGCCGTTTGTTCGTTCAATTTTTGTTTAGGTATGCACGTTCATTCCGTAGTTAGGGCAGCTCCTTTCTTTTATTTTTTTCCATCCTCTAAGAGATTCGCTAACGAGTCATGTCAAACAGGCAGTATTGAAAAAATCTTTACTCGATGTTTTTATTGTAAATTTGCAAATACTTCTATATTACGAAAATATATAATAATATATATTTTAATTATGTGTCTTTTCATATACAAACAAGAATTTTAGTAAATATT